TATAAAAGGAGCTTCCCTAAACCATACTGTCGTATTCAATTTTCAATGATACTTTTTTTGCTGTATGTTTCTTCTTTTTTTGTGAAAGTAATATGGCTAATCAGAGACCATTTTTTCAGCAAAAGAACATCTTAGTGGAGCTTCCCTAACATACAGCAGCCATCTAAACCCAAAAGCAAACATTTATTATTTTGCAGCTGGTCAATTCTTAGATGTGATGGCTTTTAGGCTTTCTTTCCTTTATTTTCATCTGGTAATCTGGCCAGTATGTCTGTTGTTTTTCATAAGAACAGACTTTCACTCCAGCAAATGTATCAGTTAGGAGTGTTGAAACAAATCAATTACCAGTGGCAAGGGTGCTTACAATGACCAGCTTTTATTTATTTATGTAAAACGTTTAGCCCTCCACAGAACTGTTGCTGTAACTGTTTTGACTCCAATTTGTTAGTCTATCTCAATCTGCTAGAACATCTAACATTCCCCTTCCCCCAGATTGATAATACTGCTATCCAAAGGTGTCTCTGCTGGTCCTCCATCCAGAGTATAAGCACACTAATATAGGAGGCATGTTACTGATCAGATCATTAGGTGGAAACAGAGAGGAAAGCCTAAAAAAAAGAATACAAATGCAGCCACCACATGTATGGATTGGTGAATTGTAACATATTACATTTTTGGTTTTGGGTTTAGTACCTTGTGATAATTGTGCTTATAGATACGGACGCTGACAATCATATTTGTATCATACTCTTCAAATATCATTCACACTCCATCAAGTCCCCCCTCCCTCTTGGAATGAAATGTGGTCTGTATGTGTGCACTGGAGTCACAAGTCACAGCTGGATAAGCTTCATGGTTGTAACCCCAATTAAGCCTGGTGCCAGAGGGTCTGACAAACACTTTCATCTGCCCGGTACTAAAACTATAACTCAGTCGGTCACTTGACATGAAACATTACCTCAGAGTGGCCATAAAACGTACATCCCACTTGAATCAATTTTCATACAAATTCATAAACTTCAACAGGAACAGGGCAGATTAACGTAAAACATATATTCAGATAGGTCATTTTGACACGAGTCACCTGACACCTTACATCCATGTGGCATTTACAAGAGAGTAGAAAGCAATATATTTTTATCCAGAATGGCAAGATATGCCATATTCGGTGTCTGGACGGTCGGAATATGATTCTGCATATTAATCTGCCAGTGGCTAGGATACTACATGTACCTATTGAAGGTTATTGACCATGGTATAAACTTGTGAGGGATTTGGTCAGAGCCTGGGTCCCCGCCTAACACCCCTCCCCAAATGAGGAGATTGGCCCTTGACTTCAGTAGACACCTCCTGTTGGGACACTAGAAAAAAGGCTGTCATGCTTGGAGAGAGAAGAAGATATTCTCCCTTTTAACACCAGGAACCATCTTTGGGAGAAAAGGCAACCTTTTTTGTTTGGACACTTGGACTCTGCTTAACCTCCCTGGCGGTATGATCATGTCAGGAATTTTGTGCTGAAAGCGGTACCATTTTTTTGCATGGAAATATGTAGTTTTTAATTGTAGGCTGTAATTTTTAGGAATAACTCACTGAAATCTGTCCGAACAAGAGTCTATTAAACATTCCGGATATGATAAAACTTGAAACACAAAATCATAAATTATAATTTAATTAATAATCATAAAAAAAAATAATATAATAATAATCAATTTAATTCAATAATATAATCAAACCAAAAACACTGAAATTTGAAATACAGAGGCAAATTCGCACATCGCTGAGCAAAGTCGCAAAATCGTTTTCAGTGTCTGATGACGAATTTCCCCACAAATCATTATCACTCAATTCTGCAAGTGGTTCTGATTTACTATCGCTGTTCTAAAACCGCTTTTGATGTAAAGGGACGCTTTTTGGCCGCCATGGACTTTTCTAAGTTTCCAGGCAGAAAGAACAGTCAAAATGCAGGCAGGGCACAGGACAAAGCAGTGGGGACAAAATGTATGTGAAATGCAGTGAAAAAGCAATGACAGCAAAAATGTCATTTTTTAAAAATTTCAAATTTCCCGCCGGTTCCGCCGCCCGAACGTTCCGACGTCACGGGGACCGGAACACGGAAGTCAGATGCCGGCATCCGCCGGAGGAGATGGACGGGGACGCTGCAGGGGACACATCGTGGGAGCGAAGGACAAGGTAAGTGCTGCAGGGACCCCCAGAGAACGCTGCATGGTAAGCCCGAGTGTAGCTCGGGGTTACCGTTCTTGGTATAGAAATTCTAACCCGAGCTACACTCGGGAAAACCGCTAAGGAGGTTAAACCAAGGACTTCTGCAAGTATTCTACCTTCTGAAACTTCTTTCTTTTATCTCTATGTTGTGTTATTGCTCTCTCTTTTTATATATATATATATATATATATATATATATATTTGTTACATCTTTTCTGTAAAATATTTAAATTGCACCATTTTGACCTTTTTAGTAATAAATCCTATTTTCTGAAAAGTGTTGAAACTGTCTCTAAAGCTTTTAATGCAAACTAAAAGAATCCCTGTCTCTGAAGAGTGCTACTGTATGTTTTAACCCTCTGCATACATCTGTCTGCGGTGGCAGTGTGTATACAGACGCTTATTCAAACATCATAGTGTTACTGCTAAGATTTGTGAGTTTCCTCCTTCTCTGTAAAAAGGTGGTGGTGGCAGTATGAAGGGTTAATTGCATAATTAACCTGACGCAGTAACAATCGCTCTCAGGCTGCTGACACATAGATTGTGGTCCAGCAAGCTGGAAAATCTTTGTGCAGGCGCAGCTGAGAGTGGCATTGTTACGCAAGTGGCAGAGCAGTCTTAGATTGGCTGGTCCTTCAGTCACAAGTTGGTGAGAAGGGCTGGGGTCTGACGCCCCGCCGGTCACATACCTCTTTAATCTTACCTTGCCCATTGAGTTCAATACATAAATTAGCAAAATCTACAGATTTTTACTGAAAATGTGGATAAATAAACTATAATTTTCTCTCATACAGGGACAGTACTTCATGGACTGAGATGGCATCTCAAAGATGACACAGTTCTTGACTGTATTCACAAATGTATGACACAGATTAGACCCGCTGCAGTCTCTCACCTTGTGATTTGCTACAATGTTGCAGTCTGATCACCTGGGAGGGGGGGAGGAGACTGAGAATATTCCTTCATGTGGGGTGGAATCTGTGCCAATCAGCAAGGGATCTGCTCACAGATACCTGTTGATTGGAACATAGTGGGCAGATGACAGATCCGTGTCTGCTCAGTTTCTGCAGAGCGGACATGGAGAGAGCCTGCTCTGCTCTATGGATGGCCGGGAGTAAACAGACTCCACCATCTGCTCTCTGATCTGATCTGCCTAGACGGATCCCCTTCCATTTTCTTTAGTGGACCTGAAGGTAGGCAGGTGTAAATGGACAAAAGTCTGTTTACACCGGCCTGTCCATAGGGGTGCATGGACCATCTCATCAGATCCATCTGAAAAACTGATAGTTGAACCTGATTGGTCTGAATGTATGCAAGTTGACTTTTGAGTTATTGAAACGTGACTTAGCTAAGTTGGTCATTAAAATACAGAATACAAAATACAGAAGGTAACAAAGCCTTTTAAATAAATCTAGAGTCACAGTGTGATTATAGAGAGATGTGTACTGTTCCTTAGCGTTTCTTTGAAATTATTCTGTATTGCATCACGTTTCTCACATATGAGGAATCTAGAGAGAGCCTCAATGGAGCTTGAAAATCATAAAGGCATGAAAATTTCCAAGTATTAGATGAGAAGGCAAGTAGTTCACATGGTGGTAATTAGTGCTGGCAGGAAAAGGTCATCTTCTAACTGGCATGTTTTATGCTCCTGAGTCCCCTCTGGCTTCTTGATCCGGATTTACTACAATTCTCTAAAAATAAACACACTTAAGACCAACATTGCCAACAAATGCACTTTTATTTTTTTCCCTTATTAGTAATTTATTTATTTTTCGGTAACACATTGAATATTTAGGCTTCATTCACACTAGGCACCTGAACAAATGCCAGAACCCCTGGCAGGAAAAAGTGGCATAAAAAAACACGCATAATGGTGCATATTATACACACATTTATGTATGATTTTTCCAAAACATTCCCCTCTGCTCATTTTTCACTATAATCAATTTACACGTGAAAATGCCAAACGCATCTGAGCTCTAAGTTTAAACATATTATGCATTTTTTCTGAGCAAAAGCATCTTTCAGAAATTTGCTTGTGATGTTTTTTTTCAGCCTGTAGTGTAAGTGCTCCTCTTCAAATATGTTTGTAAACAGCCATATGTGCATGGAAACGTAGGCTAACATAGAGTTGCTTTCACCGCCTGTATAAGCAGCATTTTTATGCCCAGTGTGCATGAGGCCTTAAAGCAAACCTGCATTTCCTCCGACCCGAAAGATAAGAATAAAAAAACACATATCCAACACAAGGGATGAGCAGGCGATATCACAGTGCTTGATTTTGTTGCAAAGATTACTGATTAGCCTCAAAGTTTGCCATGCTGACATGGCTTTATTTATTAGTAAAGACATGTGATTGACATTCCAGCGTTGGCATGATGGCTTTATAATTTTAATTCTAATGCTGACCCCGACTGTAACCCTAACACTAACCCATACAGCATTGACAATATAAAGTGCTAGAGACTCTAGAAATGTATAAAATAGACTGAGTTGGCCACTAACTATGACTGTAGCTGTCTATTATGACATGATTTTAAATACTAAACAAAGTGTCTGTTAATTTTTTTTATTACAGTGTGAAAATGTATATAAGACATTTGCATTCAGTGTATCCATACTTACTTTATAGACAAACAAATGCAACAATTTATAAAACAGATTCCATTATCGCATTGGACATGGCAGTATTTCCAGCGATACTTTTCATTTTTTTTACAATTGTTCTATTACAGATCTTTCCCAGAGAGATAGATACCAGTTGTCAAAATTTCCCTTCAATACTCATCATGCAGGGGGTACTGCGGATGGTCAGCAAATCTGTAAAGACAGATGTAAGAACTGTGAGCAAGACATATAACTATCAATGAGATCCAACCAAGTATGAACTTATAGGTGTTAGTCATTTTAAATGTGATTGAACAATGGGATTGTAATATGTGGTCAGTGTAGAGCTGTACTCCAGCCTTGCTTTCGGTCTTTCATAGTTGTACCGAAATTGCGATCTCTGATTTGACTGCATAATGTGAGCTTCGCACAATGTGCATTAGAAGCTGCAGCAAATATGATAGTTCGCAGCTTCATTTCCTAGCGGGAGGATGTTCTTCAGCATCGTTTAACCCTTTCCTGTCAAGCTGAACTGTTCCTGGCTTGCCCATTTTGTTCATTGCATTTTAGTTTTATCAAACATGGAGGCTCAAAATCACAGGTGGGCTTAGCCTATGGTGCCTGAAAGCAAACCTGTGTTCTTCCCCTACAGGGCATAGCAATTGGCCTGTTTTAGTGCCCCCCCCAGAAGCATATACTCACCTTTTCTTCACTACCTAACCAATGCTATCAGCTGCCAGGAGCAAAGAAAATGCCTGGCGCTTCCAGTCCTGTGATCATGCTGGTGCTTGGTGATTGGCCCTGGGTTGTCAAATGGGCAGTGAGAGATTCTTCAGCTCTGTGTAAACTCCAACTGGAGTGACCTTAATAAAGTAATACTAAAGTCTTGTTTTTTTTTCTTAAAAATAATAAACATGTTATACTTACCTGCTTTGTGCACTGGTTTTGCACAAAGCAGCCCGGATCCTCCTCTTCTTGGATCCCCTGCTGGCTCTCCTGGCCCCTCCCTCCTGTTGGGTGCCCCCACAGCAAGAAGCTTGCTATGGGGACACCCTAGCACGCACACTTCCAAGCCGCGGCTCTGCGTGTCCATTCACACACAGAGCCGCAGCTTGGACCCGCTTCCTCCCTCTCCTGATTGGCTCCCTGGCATAGAATGCATGAAGGTAAAAAACCTTGAGCCTTTAGAACCACTTTAATGTCTTTTTTAAATGAATCCAAGTCAGCTGTGCTTTACTAGCTAACAATGACCAATAAAACTTCCTGAGAAAGAGGAATGACCACACACAGCTCCTATTTTCTTAATACATGTGTCAGATAGTTTGAAACAGTGTAGTCCATAAATGGTTTCTTTTTAAACAGACATCCCTTAAAATGTATTTAGGACTGGGTTATGTATTCACTTTATTATAGGATACTTCCACTTTTGAAGTTAAATTTGAGAAAACCCCATTATATGGGAGTAACTACAATTACCTAACCAAATTTGAATCTCAGTTTTACCCTTAGTACTGAAATTGTTTTTATGTTTCTGTATTTTTTCCTTTCTTGTTGTGATTTTTTTTAAAAATATGAAATAAAAATTATATAACTTTTTAATATGTTTAGTATACATGTTCATGCACCCTGAAAGTCCCATCTTCTCTATTAAATATTTGCAATTTTAAGGGATGTGGTGCAATAATCATATCTGGTCGCCCGCTCACCACTTCACTGTTACCCCAATATGTTTGTTATGTGTTCCCCTTCACACAGCATACAGAAAACAAATTAAAAGACAACTGGCCCTTGGGAAGACTGCAGGCTACTTTGCACAATGTGAAATGAAAGGAAACCAACAAATGGGGACATACATTGAGCTTCCCTTAGAGATCATACAATGCAGAAGCCCAGCTTTTAGATGTTTGAACAGAAAGCTTGTTTGGACACAAAGGGGTTGATTTATTAAAGACAAATAGAATGCAAGTGCAGTTGCTCCAGAGCTTAGTAATTGAGGGGAAGCTTTGCTGACTTCCAATATCCAATCATGTGCAAGCAATAAAGCAAAGCAGGGAGTAAAAACCGGTACATTGCTTAGTAAAACACCACACAGTAAACACACATTACATATAGTTTGGCACATATATAACCCCTTGATCACCCTAGATGTTAAACCCTTCACAGCCAGTGTCATTAGTACAGTGACAGTGTATATCTTTAGCACTGATCACTGTATTAGTGTCATTTGGAATTTCAGTGGTGGTTAGTCAGTTCCCCTCAGCGTCAGTTAGTGTCAGACTGCCTGTCACACTATTGTAGTCCCACTATAAGTTGCTGATCATCGTCATTACTAGTATAAAATAAATAAATAAAAATTGCACTATGTACACCATAGTTTGTAGATGCTATAACTTTCACAAAAAACCAATCAATATACACGTATTGTTTTTTTTTTTTACCAAAGACATGTAGCAGAATACATTTTGGCCATAATTTATGAAGAAATTTGTTTTTATTTTGTTTTTATTTTATTGGATGTTTTATAGCAGAAAGTAGAAAATATTGGGTTTTTGTTTTCAAAATTTTGGCTTTTTTGTTTATATCGCAAAATAAAATTAAAAAAAAAAACAAGTGGTGATTGAATACCATCAAAAGAAAGCTCTATTTGTGTGAAAAAAATAGTATAAATTTTCATTGCGTTCAGCATTGCATGACTGCGCAATCGCCATTTAACCACTTGCCCTCCTGAGGATTTACCCCCCTTCCTGACCAGGCCTCTTTTTGCTACTCGGCGCTGCACTAATTCAACTGATAATTGCGCGGTCATGCAATGCTGCACCCAAATGAAATTTATATCCTTTTTTTCACACAAATAGAGATTTCTTTTGGTGGTATTTGATCACCTGTGCGCTTTTTATTTTTTCACGCTATAAACAAAAAAAGACCAAAAATTTGGAAGAAAAATGATATTTTTTACTTTCAGCTATAAAAAATATATAGTAAACTCAAAGTTAGTTATAAATTTAGGCCAAAATGTATTCTGCTACATGTTTTTGGTAAAAAAAAATCCCAATAAGTGTATATTGATTGCTTTGTGTGGAAGTTATAGCGTCTACAAACTATGGTATAGATACTGCAATTTACGCTATTTGTTTGCTATACAGCACTGCGCAAGTTTAACAGACAATTGCGCGGTCATGCAATACTGTACATAAATGAAATTTACATCCTTTTTTTCCCACAAATTGAGTTTTCTGTTGGTGGTATTTGATCACCTGTGTGGTTTTTATTTTTTGCGCTATAAAAAAAAAAGCCTGAGAATTTAAAAAAAAAACAATATTTTGGACTTTTTGCTTTAAAACATGTCCAGTAAAAAAAATTTAAAAATCAAATTTATTCATAAATTTCTGCCAAAATGTATTCTGGGAATTCTTTGCTTAAAAAAAATCCCAATACGTGTAAATTAATTGTTTTACGTGAAAGTTTTAGCATCTACAAATGGCGGGAAAGATAATGGGATTTTTTTTTTTATTATACTAATAATGGCGCCAATCAGCGACTTATGGCGGTGATCAGCGATTTACGACAGTGATCAGCGACTTATGGCGGGACTGCGGCGGATATTTTGACACTGGGGGGGAACTGACTTGGGGTCACTGACATCCCCAGTGACACCAATACAGTGATCAGTGCAAAAAAAAAACAAAAACACTGACACTGTACTAATGGCACTAGGGAGGAAGGGGTTAACTTTTATTAGGTAATGAAAGGGTTAACTGTGTGAGGAGGAGTGTTTTACTAGGGGGCGGGGGTGTGTACTTCACAGGAACACTCTGATCCGGAGAGATAAAGTCTTCTCTCAGGTTCAGCGTGCTCTGAACTGACAGATACAGTTGCAAAAAGTATGTGAACCCCTTGGGATTACGTGGAAATTTTGCATTAATTGGGCATAAAATGTGCTCTGAACGTCATCTAAGTCACAACAATAGAAGAACACAGTCTGCTGAACATAATACTACACAAACATTAGATGTTGCCATGGTTTTAATTGCACATAACATGTAAACATTCACAGTGCAGGGTGGAAAAAGTATGTGAACCTCTGGACTTCATAACTGGTTGACCCTCCTTTGGCAGCAATAACCTCAACCAAACGTTTCCTGTAGTTGCAGATCAGACCTGCACAACGATCTGGAGTCATTTTGGACCACTCCACTTCACAAAACTGTTTCACTGTAGCACTATTCTTGGGATGTCTGGTGTGAATCGCTCTCTTAAGGTCATGCCACAGCATTTCAATGGGGTTGAGGTCAGGACTCTGACTGGGCCACCCCAGAAGGCGTATTCTGTGCTGTTGCAGCCATTGTTTTGTTGAATTACTTGTACTGTATGCTTTGGGTCATTGTCCTGGTGCATCACCCATCCTCTGCGGAGCTTCAGTTGGTGGACAGATGGTCGTACGTTTTCTTGCAAAATGTCTTGATAAACTCTGGAATTCATTTTCCCATCAATGAAAACAATCCGTCCAGGCCCTGAGGCAGCAAAGCAGCCCCAAACCATGATGCTCCCTCCGCCATGTTTCACAGTGGGGATGAGGTTTTGATGTTGGTGTGCTGTGCCTTTTTTTCTCCACACATAGTGTTGTGCGTTCTTCCCAAACAACTCAATCTTGGTTTCATCTGTCCACAGTATATTTTGCCAGTAGTGCTGTGGAACATCCAGGTGCTCTTTTACAAACTTCAAACGTGCTGCAATATTTCTTTTTGGACAGCAATGGCTTCCTCCGTGGTGTCCTCCCATGTACTCCATTCTTGTTTAATGTTTTCCTTATTGTAGATGTGTCAACAAAAATGTTAGCATGTGCCAGAGATTTCTGTAGGTCTTTAGCTGACACTCTGGGGATTCTTCTTTACCTCATGCAGCATTCTGCGCTGTGCTCTTGCAGTCATTTTTACAGGACGACCTCGCCTAGGAGAGTAGCAACAGTGCTAAACTTTCTCCATTTGTAGACAGCCTGTCTTACCGTGGACACATGAACATCAAGGCTTTTGGAGAAAACTTCTTTAACCCTTTCCAGCTTCATGCAAGTCAACAATTCTTGATCGTAGGTCTTCTGAGAGCTCTTTTCTGCGAGGCATGGTTCACATCAGACAGTGCTTCTTGAAACCAGTAAACCCAAAAACAGGTGTGTGTTTTTTAAGGGCAGGACAGCTGTCAGCAACACGTCCAATATC